CAGCTATTTTCTAGCCAAGCAATTACAGCGCCTTTTGTACTTGAACAGGCAAAGACCACAAAACTTCTGGCTAAGATTAACTTTCAACAGCATATGTCAAATCTGACAATAATACCATCATTACTTTTGGCTTTGTTTTTTTCTTTTTAGCTCAAATCATGCTAAAAAGCTGTATTCGGTTTTGTCTACTCATAGCTAGTGCACTAGCTAAGCATATCTTTCCTACAGCCACTATATAGTGTTGTGGTTTTCTCATTTATTTTTCTTCAAGTGATCCATCTCCCTTTTATACTCTCTCTGCATGACTCTGCTTTTATGTGTCTGAGAGGTCTAATATCGCAAGAAGGACAAATGTTGTAGACCTGTACACAAGCTAAAAATGCACGGCACAGGCTGAACAGCTGAAAGCATCAAGTATGGGCCATACATGAGTGCTCACAGTGAATGACAATTCAGGTCACTGGAATCCTGTGCCAAACTTTACAACGAAACAACAGGTGTTCTCTTCCTGAGCGTGGATGTTGAGTAAATATTACTCTCTGGGAGGTTTCTGTGTCCCTATACTTAAGTATAGGAATCAAATCTAAGCTCATAAATTTGATCAATAAAGCTGTTCACACCCATTAATTTCACCAAAATAGCCTTGAAATATGTCACACACATGAACCAATAAAGACGTCAGTGGAACAGTAGGTGCATGTTCTCAGAAAGACGCCTATCTGAGGAGCAGCGATATATACTTCACCACAGCACTGATAAAGCATTTCAAACTCAAATGAGCACACAATGAATTTCAGACAGCATTCAATGTCTGAGATATTATCTCAGGCTGCAATTCATTTCAGTGTGCAAACAGAAGGCTGACACTGGACCAAATAACCAATGCCTCTTCATAGCCTAGCATTTTAACGCATGTGCTCCGACACACTGTGCCATGGTGAAGATACAGTCACTGCAAGTTTGAATTTGGCTCAAATGATCAGAACTTCAACTATTCATGAATAAAAGTGGGAAAAGGTCGGAATAAATAAAAAGAGGGCAACACTTAATTGCATGTGGCATATTCCAACTTTCATTTTTTATGCAGTTTAAAATGAAACTGTTAATGATTAACTGTGTACATCTCTAATTGTGACATCAGGTTTTTTTCATCATGCCGGGCTATACATTTTCCACCAGAGTTTCCAAGCCGAAACTATTGCACCATTTCCTGAATAGAAAATTCAGACATTTCCAAACATAAGCAACAACAACAGAGCTTGTCCAAAAAAGTGCAACCTCTACAACTGAACCGGATCCAGCACAAAACGAAACCTCTGAAATATGAATGTTTCCAGTGTCACTGGTGTTTGAAATTCATAGGTGTTTGAATTTCATTGCTGGGCGGCAGCCAGCAGGGCCGGGTGAGATCTGTGCAGAGGGCTGAAGTGTGAAATGAAACACTGATTGATTGAGAGAACAGCAGACAGCATGGAGAACGCCACAACTCCACTCGGGTAGAGGTCACAGGAAGACAGGGATGCAGAAGGGTGAATGAGGAATATGCAGGCGGGGTTAGGAAAGATCCTGGATTAGCGTCACATCCTGACCCCGGATCAGTTCGTATGACAATAAACATGCCCTTATTAAGCGGAGAACCAGAACTCTGCAAACCAAGGGCCATCTGATAGATGTATTCATGCGAAAATGTGCCATTTTTAAAGAGACACGGTTCTGGTAATTCTTGAACTGTTCTGTACATTTTCACCACAGAAAAGGCTGACTTCCAAGTCGGAAAAATTCTGTTCGACTCCGACCCTAAAAGCTTGCTGATCTGGAACCAGGAAATGGTGTCTTGTTGAGAAATGTCAAATAAGATCAACTGCACAAGAGAGAACAATCAAGTCTGTGTGATTGTGAGATAAAAAAAAAAAAGAAGAGAGTACCGGGTTAATGCATATCCAATTTCAATCCCTCCCCTACGGGGAGTACCAGCAGATGATGGCATGATCATGAGCAAAGATGTCAGTTTTTTAGCATGTTTCAAAGGGGTCATGCGCCGACCGAGCAACTGCCATTGAAATGAATCGAAATGCTAATAGATAGCTTTCTCCGGGTACTACAGACCTCTGGCCCTTAGCAAGGACCAACTAGAAAGGTAGTCCTACTTGGCAAAATCACCTTAACAAAAGAGCTCCACCAACCACCAAAGGTGATTCTACCAAGCAACATTTTGGTCTCATTTTTAGAGACCGGAAGAAATGCAGAAAATGATTGCAGAGTTCCAGTGGAGCATACAAACAAGGTGTTCAGGTTTCAGGTGTTCTCCTTCACAGCTTGCACAACTCTGCCTCAAGCCCGCCTTGAGGAGTTGAGTTCAAAGTGTGGTGCGTGCTGTGAGGCGGCACGAGCTAGACAATTCCCATTACCCACGTCTTGCTCTCTGCCCTGCCATCTCGAACCGACGCTTCACGAATACAAATAGCCAAGGCTACGGCTAATCCCCTTCTGAATGAATGCGTACGTGATGGCCGCTGTCTGAGTGCCACAAAAAGGGCATTTGTTTGCATGTGTGGTTAAGCAGAAAAAGAAGAGGAAAGTGAAAGCAAACTCGACGATGGAAGAACGGACACGGTTTTCTACCATCCATCATTTTGATTACTCTCGCATTTGTCTGAGTGCCTGTTGCTTTGACGTCTCACAGGTCGTGGCGGCAGCCACGCTGTTCCCAGTGCAATGGCATTGTAATAGCCCACAGCAAAGATGCAACAATTAACCTTTTTTTATTACACGCCTTGTCAGCCACAGCAAACGGTTCACTGTTTCAAAGAGAATAAAATGAGGGAGTGCAAGTGAAGAAAGGCGACTTTCATTTGGCTTACCTGAAAACAGAACAAAACACCACAGACATTGTTTGTGCTAATAATACAAATTAAGCAGCTCTTTTTAGGGCAGGGCTTTTCAAACGTTTTAGGGTACCAAAATGCAAAATTTCATTCCAAAAATGCACGGTCAGTCATAAACATCCAGTGTTAGTGCATTTCTGTAGAAACATTTTATGCTTGTTTTTACAAGCATGCACTATGCAAGCATACACCAGTTTCTCCATAGACATCCATTGCAAGTGCATGCACGTATACTGTACATTTGTGGAAGATGATGGTACTGCTGTATGTGATTTATTGATGATCTTTCTCTCTTTGACTCCTAGACAGCAAGGGTCGAGGGCCAGACAGTGTAGCAAACCAGCACACACATATACACAAATTGAATGGCTCAAGAGTTTTCTCTTTCAAGCTCAAGAGACTTAATGGCATTCTCTGTTATTTGTTATTTAAACATCAACTTTGTCACAGATATTTGTCTTAAAATTCCTTTAGGAAGAAAAAAATAGAAACTCATCCTCATCTAGAATTACAATTGTACAAAATTAGCACTGTCGCCTTTTTCGCCTTTTTTCACCTTTGTTGCCATTGGCTTTTGGCTTGCTTAGTTGGGGACATTAAATTTAATATTAAACAATATTATTGATCTGCCTGCATTGACACCATTAAATGAGAACTGAACTGGACGATGGCATCGCGGTTTTCTCCAGAACGGCTATATATATAAATTAACTAAATTAATAACTTTTTTTTACAACAAAAATGAACCATCACTGAACTTACTTAAGCTGGACTGTGACGCTATTTTCTTCTGGAAACAAACTTTGTTGCATTATTTTCCTGTTATCACTGTAAAGCTGCTTTGAAACAATCTGTATTGTAAAAACCTTGACTTGACTTGACAATGGACGAACAAGCTAAATAAATCGTGCAACATATGTGCAATACAAGTCAGGTGCTTATTGAAAAATTCAATTTGTTTGGCAAAAACAGTACGAGTACAGAGTTCTACAACGAATGTGGAGAGCATAGCTCAGATAACTTGAAGGAATTAACCATTCACTAATGAATTTGAACTTTTTTTTATATATTAAGTTCATTTTCCACCAAAGCTAAAGGTAAGAAGCTATTCAGCTTAATGTTCAATTGGCCCTCCTACTGTACATAAAAGAGAATTAAGTCAAATCAAAATATTACAAACAAGTATGTTACTCAACTAATGTATGTACATTACTTTTCAATCACTTTGCAATGCAATGAAATATTGTACAGTGAAACACAGCTCAATGTCTCTTTCCATCAAAAGGATCCATGGCCTAAAAGGGCTGAAGACCCTTGGTTTAAAGGAGACACCATTGCTGCCTAGGAGAATCTTTTGCGATATTAAAGAAATTGTGATTTTCCATCTCTATGGGAAAATCTCCAAAACCAGTAGCGGGATCTTAGTTGAAACACCATTTAAGCAGTGCAGACTTTCAGTAAACCACACACTTTGGTCCAATCTGTTGCACAGCTGAGAATACCTCACTAAAAAGCCCAATGAAAATCTCCAGCTTGCACTCCATGTCAGCATTTGACAAATAATGAGCTTGTTCACTCAAAACAGACTTCCACGTGGGAAAGACTTACGTCAAATAAGCATTTGTCTCTGACTTTTCAAAGAACTCCTTCAGAGAGATTTCAGTGAGGTTACACAGGCAACTCTGCAAAGGGCTTGATGTAACTTAATTGCATTCCTTTTTCCCTCCAACAGCAAATTGAATTTCAGAGTAAGACCCAACTCAAACACCTCATAATCCCTGCAGCTTGCCTCCTGCAAATGAAACAAGGTCACTTTCATTTCAACTCAAAGGGCCCAATCCAGCAGCCGCAGCCAAATGTACCTGCTCTCAGACATTTACAACATTGATGCTGCATCAGCGGATGCCCTGACTGACTTATTGAACTCCACTGCAGGCAATAACGCTGAAGGATGAAGACAGGACAGACTCTATCGCTGTCATACTGTCCTTGCATTGGTCTTGAGGCAAAACCAGTTGAGAGCCACTGCCCAACACGGGTCAATATATGGTGCATATATTCCGCAGTATGTGTGAGAATGCTGTGGATATAGGTGTATCAAACCACGTATCTTACCTGCAACATTGAGTCTAGCTGTACGGCTAACGATGGTGCCCAGGTTGTCTATAGTGGCCACGCACTGGTAAACCCCTTCATCGGGTTTATTGTGCTTAGAGTGCACCACTGAGCTGATGAGCAGAGAACCGTCCGCCAGGACCTGCCTGCGATCATCTGAGGCCAGGCTGAGGAAAGAGCCGTCTTTCTTCCATTCGATCTTGGCAGGAGACTCGCCGTGGACTGAGCAGTTGAGCAGCGCCAGCGCTCCCCGCACAACCAGCGTATCTGACGGCTCCGTGGAGAACTGGAATGGGCTGAAGTTCCTCAATGCTGATCCTACGGAGGAAAAGGATCAAATCAGTACTGGATTTCTCATCATCACACAATATGATGAACTGAAATTAGGTTGAACTTTGGGTTTAGAGATTAGGAATTTAATAACAGACGGGATCTGCATCATTGCTTAATAAAATTACATTTGCGTGGATGAGCATGGGCCGTGGCTTTTTAATTCCAAATATTTAATATATTTCAACATTTGTTCATCTCAGTTTCTTTTATTCTTGCATTCGAGATCCAAACACATTCATTCAAATGTCAAAACTTTATTACTGGTGTCCAGAAAAGACCAAACGTCAAGGTAAAGAGAGGATTACAATGAGCGAATGCATTATAAATCATTTTAAAATAACAACAGAGCCTTTGGACATCGAGAAACATTTGAATATCATATGTTGCTCATTTGAAAGCAAATGGGGGTTGGAACTAAGCACAAACTAAGCACAATTTCTTCGCATTTGTCCTCATAAATTATTCAAATCTTGGCCTCGAGAGTCATCAGGACTTTGTGTGGATAAATAACTTGAATCATCTGTACTTCTTGGATGGTAAATGAATAATGAGCTTTTTAAGGCTTTTTTAAACGCTGCACAAAGTGATGAGTTGAATGCTAAATATAGCTAAAAAGCAGTCGAGACTGGTTGATGGCGAGTCTACAAAGAGCTGGCATGACTTGGGCCAGCACAAGAACCAAAAGTCATTATTCTGCCATTTTAACTCAAGGGTTAATGTCTGGGATCACTGCTAATGAGGTCGCCCTACATCAACTCTTAGGTTTTGAGACTGAAGCTATGTTGGAATCACATACTGCCAGAGTATGCAATGCATTTGATAAATAATTTACTTTACATTTTACAACTTGCGTGGAAATGTTTGGATACACATCAATTTAATGGCGCTTTAAGGGAGGTGATGCAATTTCAAAGAATGCTGCAAAATGATCGATTTCACTGGGGAAAGTAACACTCCTGGACTACATCCAAATTTCTGTAGTACAACCAAACTACAGTTCACTTTGAGATATACATCCATTGCCCAATGAGAACTTTAGAGAGCTGGGTCCAGTTGTATCATCCAAATCACTTTGTTGTTGCTTTCCAGCTTGATTCGAAACCAACTCGGCAACTTAAAAAATAACAGGCAGGTGTGTTGGAGCAGGATCAAAACTGAAGTCTGCGGGAATGTAGTCCTCCAGGAGCAGGGTTGGCTACCCTGATGTAGTGCCTAATGTGAAGGCACTCTCAATCTATTCCCAAATGTGTCATAACACAATTCTTCACTTCAAAATAAAAATTCGGTCATCATTTACTGACCCTCAAGTTGTTTCAAACCTGTATGAGTTTCTTTCTTCTGTTGAACACAAAGGAAGATATTTTGAAGAATGTCAGTAACCAAACAGTTGATGAATCCCATTGACTTCCATAGTAGGAGAAAAAATACTATGGAAGTCAATGGGGTAAATCAACTGTTTGGTTACCGACATTCTTCAAAATATCTTCTTTTGTGTTCAACAGAAGAAAGAAATTCATACAGGTTTGAAACAACTTGAGGGCGAGTAAATGATGACAGAATTTTTATTTTGAAGTGAACTAATCCTTTAAACCAACCTAACTAGGGCCGCAAGGGGGCCATTAGCATAAACTGCCTTCTGTATGGTAAGGCCGAAGTCCAGTTGTAAGTGAGCATCCCTATGTCCTATACTCACTCCGAGCCCTTGAAGTGGAGGCTTTGGAAGGACCTTGGAAAGCTAACAAATTTGAGGTAGGGCACTTCGTGCAGGAGTTAAGTTGTTCACTTTTGTGTGACGTCCCCTTCCCGGAGTGCCCTTTAAGGGCATAGAAAGGCTGTAAAAATAAAATATAGCTGGTCTGTTGAAGTTTTAAGCTACCTACTTAAATAACAACATATCTTATTTAATGGCACAGACATTTGGAAGTAACTATCGCCCTCTTTAGTACTGGGGTTTCTTGCACCTACTCTAAGACCCATTCACACAGTAAAGGCACATTTCCTATTGCACACAGTTTTAAAGTCTCGTCTAATGGAGTCTGGGGTTGTTGGTCAGTTTCAGGGTCTATGGGTAGTAATAGTGGTCAAACCTCTGCCGACTTAGAAAGGCCTCCTGGAACGAAGCACTTATGTCTATGTGCTGACTCGCCTTCGGACTTCTATAGAAACGGCACAGAGAGCTTTACAACAGCTGCTTTTGTTGGCTGAACTGTTCTCCTGCTATATAAGATAATTGCACTCTGGCAAATGTTAAGCTTTCCTCGAATAGTTTCTTTAAGACTGATGCGAGGCAACGGTGGTTCCAGCATAAACACATCTGGATTAGATTAATTCCTGAAAGATAGATGAACTTTCCGGTCACAAACACTTCGTAGTCCAGAGGTAACTGTTATATAGCTTTCAACAAAGAATTCATAGTGTTTATAACAGACACCAATAAACTGTGGTGTACAGTGGTGTCTACATGTCTGAGACCAGTAGTTTCACTAGGTGTCATGCTTCAGTTTATGTTATCATCATAAAACTTGAGTGAGAAGTTTAATTTAAATATTTACATGAATTTCAGGCACGATATATCCTACTGCTAATGACATCAGCACTTACACTGAAATGAACTGTAGAAGGTTTCTGGTGTGTAACGAGGGAAAGAAATTAAAGTGCCATACTATTACCATTCAATAGTGGTGAAACAATATATTGTGTCACAATATATCACAATACAAAAATGCAACAATATGTATCATGGATAGTGACAATATATATTGTGTATAGTTTAAAAATAAAAATGACTTTTTACAGTTTAAAATTTAAGTTTACAGTTTTAGTGTCAGTACTACATTAAACAACTATATAATGTTGACTATAATGTATAATAATGCAATGCGGGAATATTTGTGGGTCCTGATAATGCCAAATGTCTGATGTTACCAGTAAAAAATGGCCTACATAATTTTAAACATATCTAGTCAGTGAAAGAGTGCAAGCATATTCGTCTAAAATAATTCTGTATTTTCAGCTTCAGAATCATGAATATTGTTATTCTGGTGTCTCTATCGTCCTGTGCTTTGGGTTTCCAGCACCAAGTCCAAGCCTATATTCATTTACACCAACAATGTAATACCAAATTTAGCATTTTAATCAACAGAACATTTTTTTGTTAATCTTTTATCATATGTCTTGGAGTATCGCAATAATATTGTATCGTGAGTTCAGTATCGTGACATGAGGGTATCGTTACACCCAATCCTATCACTATACCATGTTACCACTATAGTACTTTCTAATAAGAGACAGTACAACACATAAGTGATTACACGGTAATGAAGGGAGATCTCACAGATGGAAAGGCCTGTATTCCACTGGTGAGAAGGGAATACCACCCCGCAGCAGAGCATCAGAAGATCAGCATACTTAATCATTAGCATGTTAGTGGCTGTTTGGATCGTGCACAGAGGAGGAGAGCAATGCTGTTCCTCCAGCTTCCACTTCACCATCAGCTGCAACTGATGACCATCTGCTGCTGATCAGACCTTGCATCCCACAGACACGCTGAGACTGACACCACTCTCGTGTTCGCCTCATTTTCAACCATTTTCATTAGTTCATTAAGCTCTGCTACATCTATGAGGGACAAAACAACTACAAACAAACCACAGAAAAATGATTTATGCTGCTACCTCAGGCTATATAATTATAAGAACTCTCAGTGGATAAGCTGAACAAACAAGTTTGCATGGTATGTTGGTCTGGATTCTTAATGTCCTTGCACACCGAGTCTCGTATGCATTTTTTCGCATTCGTCATCCTAAAAATTTGTCACACACTGAGTCCGAAGCGTATTATTTAATCCGGAATCCGGAAATATTGGGTCCATCCAATCCTGAGATTGCGTATAGAGGAATAAGGAGAGTTCCACCTCCTTATCAAGGGCAAGGAGCTACGGGATTATCCTGAGCTATACTTCAGGATGTCAGTGGCTCAGTTCAGGGCTTGGCTAGCAATACTGGAGCCACATATTAAAAAGAAGACCACCAATTTCCGTGAACCAATGGTGGCTCTGAATTGTCAAAACACCTCAAAATGCTTGCTACCAATGTGAAAAACACAGAAAATTGAACCCGATCCGAATTTTTGTATGACGGACAAAAGTTTCGTAGGCCGTGTGTAAACGTGATTGTCACAACATGAGGTCGTATTTATTTTTTAATGTGCGAAAATATTGGACTCAGGACCTTTAAATGGGATTTGGATAATTTAAGGTTGAATTTTAGTATCCATTTAGACACTAAATTGCCTAAGCTACTCAGCGGTTTACAGGTCTAGGGATGCACGATATATCGGAGATCACATTTGTATCGCTCAAAGTATTATTATCATTTTTTTAATTAGGACAATTCTCATTTTTCTTTCCCTTCAATGGTACTAATCAGTTATTTTCTTTTGTCTGTACATCATAATATTTTAATTTCACCAAAGCACAGGATTTCACTCAGTGTAAACGGTAAAAAAAAGAACATTATTAGATTTATAATACTGGATATCAGCCATGAATTAAATATCTAAATATCTGTATCACCCAAAAATGTCTATATTGGTGCATCTGTTTATTGGATTAGATATTAAGGAATTTCCACAAACATGCAAATGTCAGTGGCACTTCTAATGAGTCATTCATTTTTCAAATATTTATGCTCAAGATTTAACCAAATTATTATCATTTAATGGCCTCAAAACACAGAGGAAAAGTTCAGTATTACACAATCTTTAGAGTCACTTGAAATTCATATAAGATATTTTCGTCAGTGAATCATTTTAAATAGTAAGCATGTCAGAAGAATATTGGATTTCCACAGGAATGTTGTCACATAAATTATGAATAATGAAAAAAAGAGAAAGAACAACCTTGACCATCCTTGCTAGAATATTTCTAAAATGGTTACCCACGAACCACCTCAACGATTTTGAACTTGTCAAGCCCAGTATATGGC